TCAAAATATCATCCAGGCATGTGGGGGTGGTGTTAGGAAGGCCAAAGCTAAGGTGCGTAGTGCTGCTGCTGAGTGGGACAGGTGCTGTAGTGACAGCAGATGCAGGTAAGAGTGAGATAGTTGATGTTGTCTTTGCCTCAGACTTCACCAATAAGGCTTTTTGCCACAAGGCAGGGTTCAAGGAGAGGAGGAACTACAAGTTGTGGAAGAGGATTGAAGAAGGGATTGTTTACATGAAAAGTTTATGGGCCCAGGTGAGCTGCATTCAAGGGTGCTGGGAGCTGACAATGTCTTCATGAAGCTACTCTGTGTCATCTTTGAAAGGCCATGAGATTTGAGAAGATCCCCAAATACTGGAGAAAGTCACATCTTATGCTTATTTTCAAAAAGAGCAAGAAAACTCATTTAGAGAACTACAGGCTGGTCACCCTCACTCCTTCCACAAGTGGAAGCTCATGAAGGAAGTTGGCTGTAGCCGTAAGAAGGAGCTGGTGGTGCCTGGGGATAGCCAGCTTGGGATTTACCAAAGATAAATTAGGCCTGACCAACTGCATTGTCCTCTGTGACAAAACACTTAGATGAAGGGAGAGTGTTGGATGTGTCATCTACCGTGGTCTTAGGGGAACTTAGAGGCCTTTATATATCTAAGAGGAGATTATTTAGAAGATAGAGCCAGCCTTTCTACTTGTGCTGCCTCTCATATTAATCTAGAGTGGACCGAAGTTGGAACAGGGGAGGTTTCAGTTTGAAGTAAGGAACTGGGGGCAGTTAGGCATTGGGACAAGTTGCCCAGAAGGTTTGTCACATTCCTGTCTTTGGACATTGAAGATCTAACTGGACAGGGTTCTGGACAAGCTGGTCTGTATTCAGTGTTGAGTTTGCCTTGAGCAGGAGGCTTCGTAGGGTGACAGTGGTGGGGTTTCTTCCAAACAGAATGATTCTCTGATTCTTAAATAATGTTTGTGTGGAGTTAAAACAGCAAATACAGGGCAGTAGTGTAATCTTTGGAACTTTGGATAAACAGGTTACTGTGATACTGAGTGAAATACTCATTTATAAGTACAGTATAACATGCTGTAGAATAGAATGTAAAAGAGTACCATTACTAGTTACTGCACAGAAGACGATTTTACTAACCTTTTAAAATTTTGGGGGGAAGATGTCAAATAAAAAATTATTAATACAATTGTTCTGATTAATACACTTGTCCAGACTACTAACGTGTGTGAGTTTGAAATATCCTTCATGGGAGATAACTGAGAAACTATGTTGTCATAAATCAAGTCCTGATTAAGATACTGAAACAAAAACTGAAAACGGAAGTTAACTTTTTCCAGCTTTTATTAATACATACAATTTGAAAGTGATCTGGAAAAAGCATTATTGGCAAATAAGCAAAATATTCTGTTGTCACAGTTACTAATTAGTTAGGAAGATAAATTCTTGATGAACAAAGGAATTCTTGATGAACAAAAGAATTTAAAGCAGGGCAGGGGCAGGATGAATTGATATTATGGTGGTAAGTGAAATTAATTATTGATTAACACAGTGCAGTACACTGGAAGGAATGTTTGTGTTACTGATTCATGTTACTGGGTTTTAAGTTTACTACAGATATTGAAGATAGCTGAAAAGGACATGTGAGTGAAAGTCCTTTTAATCATCAGTATCAATGAAAAAGAAAAATATTGTTGCATTTATAAAGAATGGGTTTGATAATAGTATTGTAATATAAATTCAAGGTGTGTACTTTCTTGGAAAAATGTCTTTATCTGTACACTTGTCTCAGAAAACAACAGAAATTGGAGTTCAGAAACAGGTGAGAATATGACCATATTTGAAAACATAAGTAGATCCAAGTAACTGAAAGTGATTATGAACAAGATAATGCATGTATAGGCATGTAAAATAATAGCTGTCAAATAAATGAAAAGGACCCTGGAAATACTCTAATAAGTCTATTAAACTGGAAGACCAGATATTCTCTCTAGTGCTCAGTTAAGGTTGTATGTATTTGGCAGAAGCCAATAGTATGCTCAAGAAATTACTCAAAAAAATTTCTTCGATGTTTTAAGAATAACAATCCACTAATTAACTTTTTTCCCCACAGAGTTTTAAACCACGTACAGTAGTCCATATTAGGAGATTAGTCCATGACTGTCCATTGTAGGATTTTTAATATTATCTCAGATACTTTGGAGTACACCTTGTATTTGCTCTTGTGCACCCATCATAAAATAGTGGTTATAGAATAGTGAAGAAGTGTCAGGGACCTACGTTGGGGAATGTGCTTTTAGGGCTAGCCTAATGGGCTAGTGGTTAGTTGCAAAAGATTGTGCTTGAGAGTTCCTGTCCCCACTCCACAAGCTAGCTTAGTGTTCCTTTTTGTTACTGCTTTGTGCAAAACCAGTTCTGCTCTGGGTTCAAGGTGTGTAACACAGGCCTCTGATCTCCCAGCTGCATTATAAACTGATACAAAAAAGACTGTCATACTCACTTTTTTTCTCGTTTCTTTTTCCTAAATAACATTTGAATTATTTTCAATACGAAGTTTTCACTTCAGCAAGAAAGTCAAGGACTGCTCTGGTGCAGAGTAACCTCTGGCATCATCATTAAAACACTGTACTGTTCTTGCTCCAAGATTGTCAAGTTGCTATATGCTGACATCACCACCAGAAGAGCAGTTTATGAATGAAAACATGAATGAATGTAATTTGATCTTAGACTTAGAAGCATCAAACCACTCTTCTGATCTGTAAACATCTGGAAAAGGCCACTATAGAAAGCAATAATTTGCCTTTTGGACCAAGCCAGTTACTGGTCTTAACCTATTTGACAGTTGTATTGTTGTGGTCTGGTTAGGAGAATATTTTTATTAATTTACTTTTTTCAGAATATGCTATTTTTAAGACAGTGTATGCCTAAACTGAGCATTCTTGAACTGTTTAATAAGCCCAGTTTTCTCCCTTCTCATGAGAAATTTCTTGTGATGGTAGTTATAAATGCAGGAGCCTATGACATACAGATTTGGATTTTTCCAGTTCCTTTACAGTAGATGTATTAAAAAATGGGAACTACAAATTAATCTGAAAAGTATTACCTTCACAAGGATGAAAATGGAATTAGTATGCTTACACTTTTTCTCTAAATAATACAGACACCCTGAATTGGCTGCTAATGACTGTTGAGGCCATCTGTTCCTTACAAAAAGATGTATCTATTCCTAGAAGAAGCCTCAAAAAAGAACTTAAAGGATTTTTTTTTTAACGGAAGATTTTTCCAAAGTTCTGAAGTTGAGGGTTTAATTCTACCATTGTCATTCAACGGAGGGTTTAGCAGAGCACTAGTATAAGTTTATATGGTACTGAAACTTTGAATGCATATTCACAGAACAAAGAAATGGAAGCGATAGCCCTCCCACAGAACTAAGGAGCAACCTGAAAATTTATCGGAGATGGATGTGTAAAAAAAGAGGGTATGTGCTTTCCATGTTCACTGAATTCAATTTTAATAAACATCAGAGAGAAACTGAGTTGGTTGGATGGGGCTTGCACTGCAGTCTGTACTTGATCAGTGAAGGAGAGTAACTGGTGTGTAGTACTTACTGGCAGAAGTTCTGTGGCCACCAGAAAATCATTTGACAGGTAACAAAGATTGAGGAAGAGAGAAAAGGCTCTTGAAGAAGAGGATTCTTAACTCTCTGCTGGGTCCATTGGTAAAATCCCTATGAAGTCTATTGTATGTTGGACTCTTTGATGATCTCAGTTAAGTGATTCTCTGGTGTCTTGTGAAAGCTCAGCATGAGATAAAGGTTCCTGGAGACTTCTAGGCAAGTGTTGAGGGAGCAGGCTTTCACTGCTATGTTTTGGCCAGAGAGGTAAAAGTTCAGTGTCTTGAATGTCAAAAGGAGTTAATCAGACAAAACCTTTGAAGCTTCAGCTGAAAAACTGTCCAGGCTGTGCTTTTGAGCAGAGCTGATGAAAGCCTTTTCAGTAATGTTTTCTAGATTATTATATAAAAAAATAAAACATCCTGATGTGTTTGAAATGAGATTTGAAGGGGTTATTAACAATACCACTTCTCATCCACTTTGGAAAAGTGCAGGAAAATACCCATATTATTTCTTAAATTAGTGTTTATTACCAATAGATATAGCTAGAAAGCTATGTATCTTTGTAGGGACAATTCCTGATGTAAATGCAGTTCCTTACAACTTTTGTTGAAGAAATTAACAAAGGAGGCTCCAGAGTGCAGGAATATATTCTTCTGAAGCAAACATATTTATTTGAATTCGTTCTAACCTTTTCCTCACTTAATTCCATTTACATTGACACTGTGACATCTTAGAGCTCTGGAAAGTCATTACTTGATATGAAAACCTAGGCTGTGACCTTGGATAAGTTTCAGCTAAATTTAAAAATAATGTTTTTTCATATTTATATACATATAAATAATATAGTAGCTGGTTTAGATCTGTTATATTGTATGTTACACTGAGCTGTTCTTTTCAGAAGCTTTGAAAGTTCATTTTTCTATAAGCAAGGTATTTTTCTTTGTTTTTAAATGAGCAATGACATAGAAATCACTGCATGTACAAATGTCAAGAAGGGTAATAATTTATTTTCTTGGAGTTTACACTTATTTTGCATAGTTTTCAATCTTCTGTATGTATGAGATATCAAGAATATGGAATATTTGTTCCACTTATATAAGTATGATGAGTTTAGTTTCTGAACATCAGATATACCGAAGAACAAACTTGACGGAATTTCAGATGTAAAGCCAAATTCAAGTTCTGCAGCTCTGAGGTTCACAATCAGTCATCTTCTAATGATGATAATTAATTCACATATCTTCCTTTCTTGGATTTAATATAATTTCATTAAAAAAAAAAAAAAAAAAAGAAGAAGAAGAAATATTTTGTGAGGTATGAATAACTGAATAAAGTTGTTATGGTTTTTATTTATGTTTTCTTTACTTCCTTCCTACAAAGCCACCACTATGGCTGCTACAGTGAACTTGGAGCTTGATCCAATTTTTCTGAAAGCTCTGGGCTTCTTGCATTCAAAGAGTAAGGACTCTGCTGAAAAGCTGAAAGCGCTTCTTGATGAGTCTTTGGCCAGAGGAACTGACTCAAGCTATCGTCCATCTCAGAAGGTACTGGTATTAGAGAGCATGGGTTGGTTTTGTATGCCTTTTTAAAGCTCCTGCTATTGCTAGTTCAACTTTTATAACTGAAAAGGTAAGAGAGAATCAGAAATTGAGTAAATAGAAAATAATTATTAAATGTTTATATTAAGTATTCCCCTTTTCTGCAACATAATCTGTTTGAGTAATTGACATTCATGAGAAAAGAAGAAATCTGTTTGCCTTGTTGGTATACCAAGACCTGTAAAACAGATATTCAACACTATTGCAAATGTCATGACTTTGTAATAGGTTTTTTTGTATTCACTTTTATATAGATTTTTGGCTTTTTTGTTTGAAAACCATCATACATGCTGTCTAAGGTAGACCCAAAATTATTTATTTTTCTAGCTACAGTCAGAGCTAAAAGTTCTTTAAAATGCAGGTTATTTTTACCACAGATAAATATGAAACTAAACAAGGTCTTTACTGATAAAGCTGGATCTCTTTTCTTTAAATTCTGTAGGTGAACTTGTACAGGAAAGAAAAATAATAATTTTAAATCATTCAAAGCAAAAATTATTTGCAGGCCAAAAAGCATTGCCATTCAATGGACAAACGCTCTTTTTCAACTGTTTAAAATCACTGAACACCTGCTAGAGAGAATATTTGAGTCTGAGATGAGTGTAGAGAGAGAACCAGGTGGGGATATCCTCATATTGCTACATATTGCCATATGGATAATTAGATGGTGTTCTCCCTCGGGATGCCTACAAGTCAGCCTGGTGTGTTTTAATGATGGTCTGTATCTAATACATGAGTAGTATTTAATTTCTGTGTCTACATGGTTCTGAATAGATAAAAGGCACAATGACTGGTACAACATACATCAGGCTTCTGTTGTGTGGTGTAACTCTATTCTGTTTGAATTGTTAACTCCCTGAAACCTAAACTGCAGTTCCCTCTAGCACAGCTCTCAAAATCCTCAGGAGCCCTTTTTGTCAGAGCTCAAAGCAGCATTGGTTTGTGGTTTAAAGAGGAAGCAGGTAGCTGAATAGTACTGCAAAGAGGTTTGGGAACCCAATTCTAATAACAATTTCGCTGATAGTCACCTGTGCTCAGGTAAGAGTGAGGCTCAAATGTCAGAGGAAGACATTTTTTGTTCTCCCCTTTCCAGTGTTTCTCCAGTATCAGCTGGACTGCAAACCTCAGACATGGAAAAAGGTACAAGAATTCCTTTCCTTGCATTCTCAGGCTGCAGGATTAATTTGTGGTTGACCATGTAATCCAAGAACAGAGAAGGGAGCACAGGATTGCTGCAGTCAAGCAGATGAGGGAATAAATTTTTGACTCTGGATGCAACAGGAAGTCAACCAACTTGGGGGAGAAGGAGCTGAAGCTCAGGACCTGTCCTAGTATACAGCAGAGAGTTATTCCCTTCTTACAAAGCTGGGGGGTACCTTGTTCGTGTACAGTGGTGTGATTAATCAGTCATTTACAGATTTGCTTATTATCCATCGCTGACACATTAATGATGCATTATGCATCATTAATAAGAACTATTGATTTCTGTTGAGATTTAAGTTTATTAATCTGATAGGTTAACATGGGCTGAAATTAGGTGGAGGTCAGTGTGACTAGTGGAGTCCCACAGGGGTCGGTACTGGGACCGGTGTTGTTCAACATCTTCATCAACGACCTGGATGAGGGTATAGAATGTACCCTCAGCAAGTTTGCTGATGACACTAAGCTGGGAGGAGTGGCTGACACACCAGAAGGCTGTGCTGCCATTCAGAGAGACTTAGATAGGTTGGAGAGTTGGGCGGGGAGAAACATGATGAAATTCAACAAGGGGAAGTGCAGAGTTTTACATTTGGGGAAGAACACCATGTCCCAGTACAGGTTGGGGGCTGAACTGCTGGAGAGTAGTGTAGGTGAAAGAGACCTGGGGGTCCTGGTAGACAGGAGGATGACCATGAGCCAGCAATGTGCCCTTGTGGCCAAGAAGGCCAATGGCATCCTGGGGTGCATTAGAAAGGGTGTGGTTAGTAGGTCAAGAGAGGTTCTCCTCCCCCTCTATTCTGCATTGGTGAGGCCACATCTGGAGTATTGTGTCCAGTTCTGGGCCCCTCAGTTCAAGAAGGACAGGGAACTGCTTGAGAGAGTCCAGCGCAGAGCTACGAAGATGATTAAGGGAGTGGAACATCTCCCTTATGAGGAAAGGCTGAGGGAGCTGGGTCTCTTTAGCTTGGAGAAAAGGAGACTGAGGGGTGACCTCATCAATGTTTACAAATATGTAAGGGGTGAGTGTCAGGGGGACGGAGTTAGGCTTTTCTCAGTGATGACCAGTGATAGGACAAGGGGTAATGGGTGTAAATTGGAGCATAGGAGGTTCAAGGTGAATATCCGAAAAAAAATTTTTACTGTAAGACTGACAGAGCACTGGAACAGACTGCCCAGGGAGGTTGTGGAGTCTCCCTCACTGGAGACATTCAAAACCCACCTGGATGAGTTCCTGTGTGATGTACTCTAGGTGACCCTGCTCTGGCAGGGGGGTTGGACTAGATGATCTCTCGAGGTCCCTTCCAGCCCCTAAGATTCTATGATTCTATGATTCAATATTTTTCTCCATGAGGAAATGAAATATTGATGTCTGGTGACATCAGATGTCAACATACATTTTCAGCTTATATAATTTTGTCTTCAGAACTATTTGTAAATTTGTGTCCAATATCTCTTTGAATTGTAAAAGCAGAAAAGTTTTTATTAATGTTCCAAAGAGGATCTGTCTTGGGAAAAGGAGCACCTTATCCTCTGGAAGGTGAGCCTAGAAGGGTAGGTTTTAATAATTGACTGCATCTTAAACACAGTGATTTGTCAATGTGATATGAAAATATTTTAAAAATGGGGTTTTTTTAAGAAATGTGTGTCTGTGTGTGTATATATGATCAATGTTGTATGACAGTGTTTGCCTATCCTGTTACCTAACTAACTGCAAACTAGAAAGTAATTCAAGTGTAGGTTTACCTTAATTATTTTTTTTTATTTTTTTTTTTTTAAGGAAATAGAGCAACCAAAAGTATCTGTTACCAAGCCTATTTCCAGTAAACAAGAACCTAAGGCTTCTTCTAGTTTGCCTTCTGGCAGCAACAATGGCAAGACCACTGTGTCAGAAAAGGTGAAAAAAGAAACAGAAAAGAGAACTGCTGATAAAGTAAGTAACTTTTGATCTCTAATGAAGTAACTTGATTAATAAACTTGAAGATGTTTTAGACAAAAGCTCTCCTTTTTAACTTGTGTAAGTCGGCTCATCTAATTGGGCATAACCCAGTAGTGCATTATCCAGTTGTGCTGTGGTTTAGGTGATCCAACAAAAAAGTCTTGTTCTAATTACTTTGTGAATGTTTTCCCTGCTTGTTGCAGGGGAGTTGAACTAGATGGCCTTTAAAGGTGAAATTCAATTCCAATCCAAACTGTTCTGTGATTCTATGTTTTAAATATCTCATGATAAGAGATCACTAAAATGTAGCAAGCTGAAATGTGAGATTCTCAAAGCTTTTTCAAGGATTTTGAGGTGAAGTTAAAAAAAAAGTGTACTTGAGCCTGTAGTTCATAAATATTTTTTTTAAAATAGGTATCGAAGGATACATGTTGTGTGTATCCTTACCACATGTAAGGTGTAAAGTTCACCTTATACTGATAACCTAATTGTTCCAGTGGCTTTCTCATTTTAATAATATCCATTCGCATTTTCATTTTCACATTCTCTGTGTTTGTGTGTGTGTGATAGATAAAAGGGGATACTGCTGAAGGAGCTGATGCACCAAAGAAACCCAGACTAGAGAAGCAGGAGGCTCGTTCCTCCCCTATTACAGTTCAGACAAGCAAGGATTTATCCATGCCTGATTTATCCAGCTTTGAGGAAACCAGTGCTGATGACTTTGCTATGGAAATGGGATTAGCCTGTGTTGTTTGCAGGTAAGTCAACATTGCTTCGTTGCAATTGTGTAGTGACTTGTTTTTTAGTTGTGTACCATTGAGTTAATGCTTCCTGTAATTTTTATTCTGGAAATCACTTAAACACGTACCCAAAATTAATAATGCTTTTAAGCATCCTTCATGAATAAGAATGGTTTCTTTAAAATGGAACCTTAAATGAGAAAACAAACTGTTCTTCTTCAGAAAAGGGCAAGGGAAAAATAATAAAACTAAACATGATGGAAAACTTAAAATGACAACTACTGAGTTTTAATTATTGAAAAATAAGTTAAAATATTAATGGCTAATGATAAGCATTTTTTAAAAATCATTTCTCTTCTGCAAACATTTTAAGTTACTTTATTGTGAGGTCTGTATGTGTTGCTTCTCTTTTCATAATCATTTGACATTAGTTTACACATAGCCATGTTTTTTCAGTGAACAGTGTAAATTCATCTTCCAGTCAAGACAGGTTCTCTTTACTTTTTGGTAAGGGCTCTAAAACTGAATCTTAATAACATTCTGCTATCAATACATTTAGTATTACCAGGAGTATAAAATATGCTTTTGAATATGCACCCTGAAATCCAATCACTCAAATCAGGATTTGGTTTCACAGATGATTTATTTCCTTGTAAGCCCACAATGCTGCCAAAAGGAACAGTTTGGCTCTCACATTTGTACCTCATTGTACCATGTCCTGTTTAGAGTGCATATTACCCACACAAGTTTGTGACCAGCTGAATCAGTTTCTGGATTAGCTCTCCACTTGGGGTTTTTGGTAGGTTTGGGTTTCAGTCAGCTTGATGAGTGTAAATACTCAGGCTGGCTGTGTGGATGCAGGAATGTAGAGGCAGGACAGAGAGGAAGATGAGACTGACATTTTGGTAGCAGTATGTGTTTTAGCTCAGCTTAAGTCAGCTTGTTAACTGTTCTGTATAGCTTTGTTCTTCAGTCATTTCCACAGTCGTTCCTGTTGTGCAGATAAGGTCTCCAGTCCATGGAGAATAATTTTTCATTTTTACAGCTCGTTACACTGTGGACTGATGAGATTTCATGTTACGTTATTCCCATGAGTTAGATCAAGTGCTTATTTTCTTATTATAGAAGTTGAAAAAGGAAGAACAGTTAAGGCATTTGAAGTTTGAAACAATTTTTTCAGTTTTACCTTTCTTCCTGCAAATTCAATTTTTGCAGTCTACTAAAGGGACAAAGCCCTGTCCAGCAATGTGTTAAAATGCTACTAAAACCAGTATGGTATTAACTTATTTGACAGGAGGAGATAAAGAAAAGTTTTTTATTTTTTACGAATACTTGTTTGTTTTCTGAAGGTAAAAAAACATCAGGATTGTTTCTCAGTTACTATATCATTGAAAAATAAGTCCAGTTTAACTTGTTTCTGCACATGAAGAATTAATGTTTTTTTAATTAATCTGGGATTATTTGTAATTTAAAAATAGGGTGAGTCTTTTCCTTTGAGACATTGGGTTGAAACATCACTGCTTTATTTAGTTTATTTAGGAATAACAAACAAAATGGCCTTTGAAATATTTTGCATCTAAAATAATGGGCTGTGGAATTTCAGAAGTGTTTCTCCCTCTATTTTTAAACAGCCCATTTAAAAGAGAAATATTTTTTAGAAAATGTTCTAGTGTCCACATGGACAATACCTTCAGACTTAATTTTCCTGATATATAAAAAATAAGGTATTACCTTTCCCCACCAATCTACAAATAGAGTTTCCATGGTTACCTGGGTACCTGCTCTTCAGGGATATAAGTAAAAGCAGCTTAGCAATTAAATAGCCTGATTTGTCATCTAAAAGATGGAAATACTATTAGGAAAATGGTATTTGGCTAATTCACAGTCATACTCCCACTCATATGTATATCACTAATTTGTCATTTATACAGCATGGTTGCTTTTACGAGAGGCCCACATAAAATTAAGTCCTCATCACCAGCTTACATGTTTGCTTCAAGGCAGGACTGCACAGTTAATCCTTTCTATTCCATCTTTCCATGATTCTGGTATTATCTCTAATTCCAAGTGTCTTATCTGTGTAGTAGGGACCAAAAGAATGGCTGGCTAATAAAACATCTTTAAAGGAGTGTACAGCTTGGATGATGACGATGATGATGATGCTGCTTTTAAGTGCTGTAGCAGAAATCACTCTTACAGGCCTGTAACTATGAAATTATTTAATTTTGAACTGTACTGCTGTGCAGCTTACAGCAGAATGATCCAAATGTAAACTAGGCCTTCATACACTAATATAAAGAGGAAATCATAATTGATATACAGTGATGTATGCATAAAATGCCCAGGCGAGGCAAAGCAGGTGAGACTTGTGTTTCTAAAGTAAATATCAGACAGGGAAATCAAAGTACCATATACACATGTTATAATAGTATAGAAATTTTAGATTTTCTTGAAAAGTATTACCTTTAAAAATAAAATACTTTTTAGGGAGAACTCGTACAGGAAGAAAAGGATTATGTTTCATTGCCACAGGTAGAAAATACATGTGAAAGAAAAAATAGTTTTCATCTGAAGCCTTGCAAAATTTTCAACAATTGGATAATCCTTTAAGTGCTTTCTCACATAATCTGTTCTTAACTATTTGCTCTGCAGGCAAATGACAGTTATTTCTGGGAATCAGCTAGTGGAGTGTCAGGGATGCCATAATCTCTACCACCAAGATTGCCATAAACCTCAGGTGACAGACAAGGAAGTGAATGATCCTCGACTTGTATGGTATTGTGCCCGCTGTACCAGGCAGATGAAGAGAATGGTAGGAGTCAGTTTTCTGTCTCATATGAGCACTATATGAATACAACAGGCTATTTCTAATACATGAGAGTATTCTGTGGGTTGCAGAAATCTTTGGGAGCATATTGGAGAACCATTTTTCTCAGCAGTGCTTCCCTTGCTACAACTGTGGTTTTTAATACAGCATTTCAAAGAGTATTCTTTAATGTGCTCCTTAAAGCTTTTAAAAAAACAGAAGTTTAGTGAAGGAAAGTGAAATAGGAGGATTTCCTGCTTTGCAAGCAGCACTTGAAAACTTATTTTATTTCAGGTGATACTCAAGTTTTTAGGACGTGTCTACCAACTAGCCCTACAATTTTAGTTTTCTTCTCAGCTTTGGATATCAGTGATTCTTTTCCTGTAAGACAAGACTGCAAATTTCGGTCTGTATTTTAAGAGTTGAGTGTTTTCAGGCTCGACAATAATCTGAGGGTAGCACATTCCAGGAAAAAACACCAACAACTTTATTTTTATTCATCTGCATGTTAATTTATTGATTAAACAGACTAATTATTCCTGATCCCACAGGAATCCCACTCATTATGAGCAGCAAACATCAGAGTAAGAAAGCATCTTTGCGTGCATGAAACATTAACCATGTTCAGTTCTGGCATTTAAAAATCAAACTCTTTTTTACAGCAGAATGTGTGTTGTGTTTTGGAATAGTTCTGTGATAACTTAGCACCTTTTCAGTTGAAATGGCTCTACTAAGAAACAAGAAAAGCAGGCAGTGTAAAATCCCTGCCTAAAAGTTATCATCACTGATTGAAATACTTGTTTATTCTGATGATCATCAGGCCTTTTGAACTCAGGAGTTTGCTTGAGGTCATTTACTGCACAGCATAACCATTGCAGCCATTCAGCGTTTGCCTTCAAGGTCCGTTTTTGTTTGTTTCAGCATAATTTCTGCCATTTTACCTGCCACCTCCTAGCAATCTCTTGCAGCCTGCGTCCCAGTGCTGCTGGATTATAGCCCTGTCTTCCTCAAGTTCACCTGTCTTTGCCTTATTTCTGTGAAGGCCAAGTACTTTCCTATTCCCTAAGTGTCAACACTGCAGCTCTTTCCATGCTGAAACAGCAAGGCCTATTCAATATGCTTTTTGGCTGAACTCTGTTCTCGGTACCATACTCAGCACTACCTCCACATCTCCTATTACCTTTTTTCTCAGAAACGGTTCAGCTTGAAACTGTGAAGTCTAGATTGCAGTCTGACATTACTTACCTTTTACAGTCAAAACAGTCAATGTTATGGGGCCCATAACTCATTTGTTGGGTTTTTTTCCCTACCAGACTCAAAAGACACAAAAACCATCTCAAAAACCAGCTCCTGCAGTGGTTTCAGTTGCACCAACTGTGAAGGATCCATTAGTCAAGAAGCCAGAAATTAAATTAAAACCTGAGACCCCACCAACTTTTCTATTCAAGAGAACAGAGGTCAAGGTAAAGCAGTTTAAATTTTCCAGAGGAAGAGTTTACATTTCACTGCATTTGTGTGCTGAGTAGTAGCATAACATAGTGGTTCTGTGTTTGCACTGAAACAGTAGGGGGGGAGGGAGAAACCTGCAATAACCAAGAAGAGGGAAGGGAAGGAAGGGAAGAAGCTTAAACACTGTTATTTAATTGCTCAGTGTCTGATTTTTGTTTGAGCATCTATCATCCTGTTAAAAAGTGACACCAGATAACAACAGTAAACAATAAAATGCAATGACTTGACTTCCTTTTTTATACTTCACAAATATGGGCTTTTTGTAGTTTCTTCAGTTAAACTGTCTTTTAGATTTTATGGGGGATCACAATGCTGTATGATTGCCTGCTAGCTGTATAGGGAATAAAATGTAATACTGGATTTCTGTGGCTGGGAAATTACAAGTTGACTGCACCTGGCATGCTTTTTTTTTTCTTGTTAATACTTTTTAACTGTAGTGACCAGTGGTGAAATATTGTCCACTGGGTGTTTCTGGGAGAAGAACTGAAACAGAGGCTTAATCTGTTCCTGCTATGATATGTTACACAAACTGATGCACTATAATAAGAATGCTTTCTTTATTTTAGACCTCAGCAGCAATTTCAGGGAACTCAGCCAGTGCGAGTGTTTCCTCTTCAGCAACCAGTGGCCTTACAGGATGGGCTGCTTTTGCAGCCAAAACCTCCTCTGCTAGTCCATCGACTGCCAAACTGGGATCAACAGCACAGAGCACAGGTGGGAAACCTGCAGCTTCTTCAAATAACCAGAAACCTGTGGGTTTGTCAGGGTTGGCAACTTCCAAAACAGGACTAGGGTCAAAAATAGCTTCTGCCAGCAACAGCACTAGCCCTGTTCAGCTGAAACCTCCCCCTCCTCTGACACTGGGGAAAACTTCTCTTAGCCGCTCCGTAAGCAGCGACAATGTCAGCAAAGTCGGGCTCCCGAGTCCCAGCAGTACCGCACCAAGCACCGGCAGCCAGGTGAGCAGTGGGAATGGCAACGGTGGGGCTGCAGGTAACAGTGGGGGCAGCACCAGCAAAACCACAGCAGATGCTGGTAATCAGTCAGCCTCCTTAAAAGGCCCGACTTCTCAGGAATCTCAGCTCAATGCTATGAAAAGGTTACAAATGGTCAAGAAGAAGGCCGCTCAAAAGAAACTCAAGAAGTAGTATGACTGCTGGCTAATTTTGTTGGTTGTGTTCTGTGAAACAGCAGTGTTGGTGTTTTTCTGAAAGAAAATTTCCTGGTTACTGGCCTGAAACAGTAGTTAAATCAGGGAAGCCCAGTATCTCTTATACAGGAGGTCAAACTTTGATAATCCAAGTATTCCTTCTGACTTTGCAAATCTATGAATTGAATATGTTGGAGGAATTTGTTATTATATGCTCCTGTTTTTAGCAAAAAGCACTGAAACTTGAAATTGTAAAAGTTGGGTATTTTGGAGTATTAAAAAAATGAAACAGATTTATGTGGACACTTAATAAATTGAACTTATTGAAACTGTCATTCATAAACATTATTAATAAAAATATTATTAATCTGGGAAATCATTGCTGCTTCTCTTTGACTTTATTTTCCAATACTTAAAATGCTTCAGCTTTTCAGAGTTGCCTATATTGTGCAGAGCTAAGGAAGTTCATCCCAAATTATACAGTTCCCCTCCAAGGGAAAAAAATGTATTTTAAACAGTTTTTTAAGTTAACTGTTAAACAACATATTCTATTTAAAGTGAGAATTTTAAGTTGTGTGTATTGATTTTATACAGTGAGAAACTTCTTGTTGTTGTAATTCTCTGAGGGAGGAGGAAAGAGCATTGGCAGAAGATAAATGACCTGTAAACTGTAAAAATATTGGAAGAGAGCCAAAACAGTGTTTTCAAGCTTTTTTAATCTGTAGGTAACCTTAATATCATTCTGTTGAATATGAATGGAAAATAAGTCACAGGCATTGTATATTTTTATTAAAACACAATCTGATTGAACAATATTGTTTCAATGATGTGAGAGAGGGGGAAAAATAGAAGAAAATTGAGAGAATTATCTTAGGTATCAATAAGTGAGTTTCCTTTCTGGCACACCTGATATACAAAAGAAGTTTTGAGTACCTCAGTATTCCATGCTGCTAAGTATTGCTATAAAATTATCAAGCTTTGCAGGTGTTAAACTAGTACTGCCTGCCAATCTGTCTTGGAAGATGAAGCCTCTAATCTCTTAACAATCATACAGGCTATGGCGGAATGGTTATTTCAAATTACTGCTTTTTCATACAAGGAAGGAACAGAGGAAAAATTCTGTTTAGTAGTTAGTAACAGTGTTAGTCAATGCTCACCACTTGAAATAGATAAAAACCCTTTTCTAGCCTTGTCGCATAGTATCTAAGGTGGAGGAGTTTGTTGCTTTTTTAAGGATAAGTGTATTACAGAGTTTTGAGATCAGTTGGAAAACCTCTTCCATCGATTTCTGTAGGAGACAGAAACAGCTACATATGAGTGCATGTCTTCCCTCACAGTAGCAAAGGGTTCTGTATATTCTAAAAGTTCAGTTTCTTTCCCACTCCACTCGGTGATTTGTATTTTAGAGGTAACACTCTGTTCGTGCATGCGTTCCCAAGTCCGTAGGAAGATCCTGTATTTGAATTTACTAGCAGGTGTTGCAGAACTTCTAACTGGGTATTGGCATTGGATTTTTCAAGGCTTATGTGTAGATGGGTTTAAGGTTGGGGAGAAGGGTTGGATTTCCAGATGCAATTTGGAGAGAAGGTCCAGGACATGTTGGAGCTTGAAGGGTGGGGGGTGTGGGCAGGGAGGAAGGAAAAGCAATTTGTCTCTGTGTGTGGGTATTGTTCAAGCTGAATATGTTAAATTCTCACTTCAAGGCCTTGGGTGGGATCTTCATTTTGCAGAGCATAAGCCCCCTTCACCCCACAGCTCAGTCAGGTACTTAGCCTGTCTGCTATTGCAGAGGAGGTTTGAAGACACTATGGTTGCCTCTCAGGCATTCGTGGCTTTGTCCTGACTAGACCTAGCTCTTACACTCACAAACTTCCCTTCCTGCATATCTTGCCAGATTCTTTTACACACCTTCAAACCTGTCCCACCCATATGTGGATTACACTTACTGCTTTACCCACCACAATTGAGACAGGTAGTTCTTCACAGCTTGTGCTTCCTTGCTTCCTCCCAGCTGCTCCATGTTTTGATCAGCTCTAAGGAACTGGCTCAGGCTGAGCGCTGGAAAAGGATCTGGAGTCTTGCTTTGTGTCTAGCGCTCAGCTATCTTCTCTACATTCCTTCTGTGTTGAAGGGAGCATCTTTAAAGGTGAAAACATCTCAGACTTCCATAGGTAGGTGAAGCTACAGATTTTTTTAGCCATCCTGTATTTTAAATATATGTAAAGCTGATATATGCAGCTATTTCCCCTACCTATTTTGCCTTCTTCTCAACTTAGATTTAGGTTAAGTTTCCTTCAACATCCAAAGGAATAGTTTAATTTACTCAGGATTGCCTTAGCAACCTGGAGAATTTGCTTATTTTTTCAACTATTATTTCCTGTGGAGGAAAAAAAACAAAGGTTTGGTCTTTGTAGTGCCTGTGGCTTGCAGGGCAATTTAAAAATAACAGCATGAGGAGTAGAAATCCAGGACTTCTATTGCTTTTCGATCAGCCCATCCTTCTTGCTCTCTAGCACAGAATGTTTTTAATGGTGGCATAGTAGGAAAAGACATTGAAGACTTTTCCATTAGCAGATATAAGGCATATTTTCTTTCTGAGTGTTTATCAGAAGAATGCCTATACTATGCCATGAAGTAGAGCATGAAGATTGTTGGTATTAATGGCTGGAGCACACCTATGTAAAATGTTCATTCTGGCAGTAAAACCTGCTCCCACATGAGGATTCAAGGTGCTGGCTGCCTCTGACTTGCCTCAATATATATACAGTTTTGTTTGTGAGAGTTCAGGAGCTGATTATCTGAACTGTGCAAATTCCTTTAGGTACCATATATAGGGTGAACAAAGGCAAAAAAAAAAATAGGTTTTGAAATTGTGGTAGTTAGTGCCATTTAAAATACCTCTGAAACCTGATGCAAGAGTATCTTGGTATTTTTAGATCTGTAGCTCTAGCATGGGTTGACTGTAGGTTATCTCCATTATATCCAGTTAGAATAAAATAACCTTTGCTGTACCATATATGCATGTCTGTCTTTTCCCTCTAGTAAGGCCAAGTGTAGCTGGACTTGGTGATATCAGTGTATTAGCAAAATGTGCAATAGAATGACAGAATCATTATGGTTGGAAAAGACCTCTAAGATCATCAAGTCCAACCATTAGCCTAACTCTGCTAAGCCGGGTGCTTAAATTGTGTTTCTAAGCAGCACATCTGCAGGTCTTTTAAACACCTCCCTGGACAGTCTGTTCCAGTGTTTAATTACCCTTTCAGTGAAGAAGCTTCTTCTAATATCTAATCTAAACCTCCCTTGGCGCAACTGGAGACCATTCCATTGAGATCGTAAGAGCTGCAATTTGTGCCAGCAAAAGACTTTTTCCATTGTAACTTTTCCTGCTACCTAAATGAAATAGTCTCCTTCTGTTGGTATAAAAATGTCAGTTAGGATTGTGGTTCTTTGAAGTATTGTATCAGGAAGGATTTATAGCACTTTTAAATGAAGTGTTTAGCTTGAGTATGTAAGATAGGCACTTCTGAAAAATAGAGTAGACTGAAGGAACAGTTGCTTTCTGCCTTGAAGTTAGTTAGGATGGGATTAGCAACTGTATTTTTAGGAAAGGAGTCTGTCCTGCAGGATTGTTTGAATGAATTTGCACATCAGGTTGATGATTCTAGTGTAGGGCAAAAAGAAGGAAGGCTCTTGAGAAGTATACATCATATTTAGAAAAAGTAGCTGGAAAATAGTCCTGTGATTTTTTTTTTTTAATCCCCAAACCAAATTGCTATGTGATTTACTATAATAAGTTACTTTCCTTACCTATTTTATAAATGTGTATGCTAATATTTTACTTCCAGTTATTATGGATTTTCATAGATGCCCAAATTCTGATACCCTTATTAATGTGAAATGATAAAGTCCTCTGGTTCCATGAGTGCTCCTTCTGGCCAGACTAGGGATGCTAGTGATATCTGGGTCTGAAAGGAAAGATTCTGTAACTTATTTTAGCAACAAAAGCTTTTATGTATTACAACTCATGACAGACCTCTGACTAGACACAGCAGTAAATAATGGTCACAACCCCAGGAGCAGCTAGAAAAAAAAACAGAACTAATCTGACATTTGGAAACTTCAGGTGTGTTTTGAAACTTGCTCAGTGTTTTGTTAGTGTTTGAGTTCTAATATATTGATAGATAAGCTAGGATGCATACTAGAAATGCAGCATTTTAACTGAGGCAACTCTTTCCTCTGCTTTGCTAATTTTGCAGTGATTCTTTTTACAGTTCACAACAGAAGGCAGAGCTTGGATAACATACAAAGCTCTTAACTTCTGGAAAAAGTTTTATTTTAAAAAAAAGGAAGAAGCATATCTTTACAAAAATAGATTTTTATTATTGTAATAATTTGAGAGAAGATTTTTTCTTTCATCATTTCTGAACAAACAATATTGTAAGAGTAATTATCAGTAATAAATCTATAGGCACGAGGATTGTCATGGCTGTGTTTCCTGTTGCAGGTCTTAGGTCCGCTTCAAGTACCTGCATTTTTACAAGCTGTCTTAAGATGACAGCAAAAGTATACTTCAGTATTTGAAGGAGGTAATTACTCAGTGAAGATTCCTAGCATGAAAAGTCAGAAGGAATAATTTTTCAATCTGTGTTTGCATTGAAAAGGTGGATACTTAATTAAGGATTACATGCACCATCCAAGCAGAGGGAAGACAGTGAAGCACACAGGTGGCAGAGGTCAGAAACTGTGCTGTTCGTTGCCTTGGATGTTTCCTGAGTTCCAGGTTATCTATGGCAACACTTGAAAACATTCCCTGAATGGAGAAATACTTCAGTTTGAGTAGACCCAATCTTGAAAGTACTTCTATGTGCTTATTGTCACAAACAGTTCAAGTAAGTAAAATACACATTTGAATAAATGCAAGGTTGGTCCATTAAACTGCAGCCTGTTCCTGCTTCAATCAAAAGAAATTAGTTTTGTCATTAATCAGAATAAGAAAACTCTTAGAATAC